ACACACACACAGCCCTTCTACTGGCAAGGAATGTGCAGGACTGCATTCAGAATCACATGGTTTGGACTATACAGTCTACAATTACATGTTTCTACTATTCCGTCCTGTGTTTTGGAGGTGTGTCTCGCATGGCAGTTGCAAGTGATGATGTCATCCTGAACTACCTATGAGGCCCCGAAGGAGAGGACAGGAAGAGCAGAACGTGGATAGAAAAGAGTATCATGCATTCAGGTAGACCATAACAGACCATGCATTCACCCAAAAGGCCATCCAGACAGACACATGGACCAGAGAAGAGGAGGCTGGTGCGAGGAGCTATAGGAGGGTTGGCTCATTATAATGGCTGGAATGGAATAAATGGAACGCAGTGAAATATGGTTTCCATATGTTTGATGTGTTTGATACTGCTCCATTTATTCCATTCCAGCCATTACAATGAGCCTGTCCTCCCATACCTCCTCCCACCAGCCTCCTCTGGACCAGAGCTATAGAGGCACTCATCCATGCCCTTCGGAGGGTGGAATGTGGTGTTGGTGGGAGGGGGGGATGGATCATTCATGGAGGTCTCTGATTGGTCTCAGACTGAGGTGGGGACAGGATCTTCTTTCTTTCCTGGTTCAGAGGTCGTGTTGAGGGCCACGTCCTGTTTCAGCTCCTTCCCTGGCTCCTTAGTCCTACAGGTCAGAGGGCACAGGCAGTCCGTCTCATCAATGGAACTACATGGCATGAAAACTCATTGATCCTGCTGTATGTCATACTCCCTCTGTTGTTAGCACTGTATTTTATAGCAGTTTACTCAATCATCCAGCAGAGGTCACTTTCTCCTATAGACTTCCTGGCACTGTACATCCATACAGTCAATAATATGGAGGTAAACTACATTTACTATGATACACTAAATAACTGCATGGATTTGTGCTTGTTGGGAAACATCTCAATGGTAGATCTGTGTGTAAAAGAACCAAACGACAACAATGAATAAAGGTATGGAGAAGACAGACAGATAGACTGACTGACAGACAGACAGACTAACACAGACAGACGGACGGACGGACGGACTGACTGACAGACAGACAGACTGCCAGACAGACAGACAGACAGACAGACAGACAGACAGACAGAGAGACTGACTGACAGACAGACAGACAGACAGAGATACTGACTGACAGACAGACAGACAGACTGAAAATAGAATGAAGAAAAGTAAACAGACTAAATAAAGCATCTATCAAATCATCTATTGTAATAATAATTAAAAGGCTTCAAAGTTCAGTAAATGTTTTGGAGGGAATGATGGAGTGAACGGATCAATGACTCAACAGAGGAGTGTGACGTAGAAACTCACTGGGCACAGAAGACAATTCAACGTCGATTCAACGTTGGTTCAACATCATTTCATTGAGGATGGCTCACCCCTCACAGTTCTGGGTGACTTTAACCTCCCTACGTCTACCTTTGACTCATTTCTCTCTGCCTCCTTCTTTCCACTCCTCTCCTCTTTTGACCTCACCCTCTCACCGTCCCCCCCTACTCACAAGGCAGGCAATACGCTTGACCTCATCTTTACTAGATGCTGTTCTTCTACTAATCTCAATGCAACTCCCCTCCATGTCTCTGACCACTACTTTGTATCCTTCTCTCTCTCGCTCTCCTCCAACACTACTCACTCTGCCCCTACTCAGATGGTAATGTGCCGTCGCAACCTTCGCTCTCTCTCTCCCGCTACTCTCTCCTCTTCCATCCTATCATCTCCTCCCTATGCTCAATTCTTCTCCCTCCAATCTCCTGATTCTGCCTCCTCAACCCTCCTCTCCTCCCTTTCTGCATCCTTTGACTCTCTATGTCCCCTATCCTCCCGGCCGGCTCGGTCCTCCCCTCCTGCTCCGTGGCTTGACGACTCATTGCGAGCTCACAGAACAGGGCTCCGAGCAGCCGAGCGGAAATGGAGGAAAACTAGACTCCCTGCGGACCTGGCATCTTTTCACTCCCTCCTCTCTACATTTTCTTCCTCTGTTTCTGCTGCTAAAGCCACTTTCTACCACTCTAAATTCCAAGCATCTGCCTCTAACCCTAGGAAGCTCTTTGCCACCTTCTCCTCCCTGCTGAATCCTCCTCCCCCTCACCCCCTCTTCCCTCTCTGTGGATGACTTCGTCAACCATTTTGAAAAGAAGGTTGACGACATCCGATCATCGTTTGTTAAGTCAAATGACACTGCTGGTCCTGCTCACACTGCCCTACCCTATGCTTTGACTTCTTTCTCCCCTCTCTCTCCAGATGAAATCTTGCGACTTGTGACGGCCGGCCGCCCAACAACCTGCCCGCTTGACCCTATCCCCTCCTCTCTTCTCCAGACCATCTCCGGTGACCTTCTCCCTTACCTCACCTCGCTCATCAACTCATCCTTGACTGCTGGCTATGTCTCTTCCGTCTTCAAGAGAGCGAGAGTTGCACCCCTTCTCAAAAAACCTACACTCGATCCCTCCGATGTCAACAACTACAGACCAGTATCCCTTCTTTCTTTTCTCTCCAAAACTCTTGAGGGTGCCGTCTTTAGCCAACTCTCTTGATATCACTCTCAGAATGACCTTCTTGATCCAAACCAGTCAGCCTTCAAGACTGGTCATTCAACTGAGACTGCTCTTCTCTGTGTCACGGAGGCTCTCCGCACTGCTAAAGCTAACTCTCTCTCCTCTGCTCTTGTCCTTCTAGACCTGTCTGCTTCCTTTGATACTGTGAACCATCAGATCCTCCTCTCCACCCTCTCCGAGTTGGGCATCTCCGGCGCGGCTCACTCTTGGATTGCGTCCTACCTGACCGGTCGCTCCTACCAAGTGGCGTGGCGAGAATCTGTCTCCGCACCACGTGCTCTCACCACTGGTGTCCCCCAGGGCTCAGTTCTAGGCCCTCTCCTATTCTCGCTATACACCAAGTCACTTGGCTCTGTCATATCCTCACATGGCCTCTCCTATCATTGCTACGCAGACGACACACAACTAATCTTCTCCTTTCCCCCTTCTGATAACCAGGTGGCGAATCGCATCTCTGCATGTCTGGCAGACATATCAGTGTGAATGACGGATCACCACCTCAAGCTGAACCTCGGCAAGACGGAGCTGCTCTTCCTCCCGGGGAAGGACTGCCCGTTCCATGATCTCGCCATCACGGTTGACAACTCCGTTGTGTCCTCCTTCCAGATTGCAAAGAGCCTAGGCGTGACCCTGGACAACACCCTGTCGTTCTCCGCTAACATCAAGGCGGTGACCCAATCCTGTAGGTTCATGCTCTACAACATTCGGAGAGTACGACCCTGCCTTACACATGAAGCGGCACAGGTCCTAATACAGGCACTTGTCATCTCCCGTCTGGATTACTGCAACTCGCTGTTGGCTGGGCTCCCTGCCTGTGCCATTAAACCCCTACAACTCATCCAGAATGCCGCAGCCCGTCTGGTGTTCAACCTTCCCAAGTTCTCTCACGTCACCCCGCTCCTCCGCACACTCCACTGGCTTCCAGTTGAAGCTTGCATCTGCTACAAGACCATGGTGCTTGCCTACGGAGCTGTGAGGGGAACGGCACCTCCGTACCTTCAGGCTCTCATCAGTCCCTACACCCAAACGAGGGCATTGCGTTCATCCACCTCTGGCCTGCTGGCCCCCCTACCTCTGCGGAAGCACAGTTCCCGCTCAGCCCAGTCAAAACTGTTCGCTGCTCTGGCACCCCAATGGTGGAACAAGCTCCCTCACGACGCCAGGACAGCGGAGTCACTCACCACCTTCCGGAGACACTTGAAACCCCACCTCTTTAAGGAATACCTGGAATAGTATAAAGTAATCCTTCTACCCCCCCCTTACCCCACCCCAAAGAAAGAAAAAAAAAAACATATTGTAAAGTGGTTATCCCACTGGCTATAAGGTGAATGCACCAATTTGTAAGTCACTCTGGATAAGAGCGTCTGCTAAATGACGTAAATGTAAATGTAAATGACGTGGAAACAACATTGATTCAACCAGTGTGTGCCCAGTGGGAAGCTACAGCATTAAAAAGTTATTGGGAGGGAGAAAACGTGTTATAATTAGTCCAACACTGAATTTAAAGACACAACAATCTAAACAGATGACTTGTGAAATTTCCTAGAATAACAGGATTACAGGAATGGATTAGGATTCTTTAGGATAATACATAAATGATGTTGGAATTTCTAGAGTCCCAGTCCAGAAAACAACTCCTAGCCCCGACCAGTTTGGTGTTTGCAGATCTTAAGGAATTAGATAGGTAAATCAAATGCTAAAAGTAAAATGAGCTCAACTGAGACCAATTTTAACGACACATCTATGCGCTTTCTTCAGATCTGGAGGCTACACACCAAGGTTTAGGGGAGCTAGGAGTTATCTCTAGCCAGGGACAGACTGTTAGAATCGAAGGCAGATGATGGGGAGTCAAATCAGGGAGTAGGGTTAAAGGGTTGAAGGTCAAAGGTCATAATCTGATTGGTGACCTGGGCACGGGGGCGGGCCGGACGCTGGGCAGGACGTCCCAGCTAGAGGTGGAGCTGTCGTGATGAAAACACAGTGTCATGTGACCAGGAAACACAAACAATCACATCATAGACAGACACAATCACGTTAAAAGGGCAACAATCATGCCCCAAACCGACCCTTCATCCTTCTCCTCAGCACATTTTGTAGATCTGAAATAATTAGATAGTTATTGACAGTATGGTGTGGGCTGGGTGAACCTTTTGCCACATTCCTTACACCTATCCAATCATCTCAGATCTTAGTCTCATTCCCAACCACGTGTCTTTGGCATTAAGCCTGGCAAGCGAGACTGTTGGATCTAAATGTACAGTGCATAATGTAGGGACAAAGGGTTGATTAAGAATGGGGCAATTATCACACAGTCAAAGCAATCAGACGGTAGAGGATGAAGTTGCCCTGAGCACTGATCTAAGGTCAGTTTGTGTGTTTTTACCTCCTGATGGTTACGGTTAGGATTGGAGTAACAAACTGATCCTAGACCTGAGCATATATGCCGGGGAATCTACCAATCACTGGTGGTTAACATAGTAATGTTTTTTTGAACAGGGTTCAAATTACACATTGACTCTTGGAGGTACACTGATGGGGGAGCCCACATATATATATTTTTTAACAATTCAAGGGGTGCCAAAACTTTAATTATAGGAGTGGCTAGCATCTCCAGACATCCCTGTAATTGGAACCCTGTCATATAGAACACTGGCAGTAGTATTTATTTGGTTTATGAACATGTAGTATTGGTCATGTATGCAGTAGGTATCAGGTATTATGGAGGATTCCACCTGTTTACCAAGACCCTTTCATTGTGCAGGTGTTTGAAAAATCTGCCAAGAGAGATGTGAAGATTGAGACACCAAAGAACAAAAAGAAACCCAGGACATTTTGGATCAAAGCATACCACAGTTTCATACTGCACTATGATAAACACAGGTAACCAGCATAACAATAGTCTGGTTGACCATACTGTTTCAACTTCAGATAACTCTGTTGTAATAGCACTCAGGCAGGCTAGTAAGCTAAGAAACCCCATTTAACAGCTCAGTGCCTTACCGTATAGTCTTCACTATGAAGCGAATGATGACAGCCAGACCAACGCAGCCGCACAGAGCTCCTATTACTATCGCTGTGATCTCGCCTGAGACAGACATAGATAGAGAAATATTACAACTAATACATCAAACATGAAAATATATACATTCACCAGAGGCCTACATTAATAATGAATAAACTATGAATGTCCACGTCTTACCGGCAGTGTACACCTTCACTGATTCTGCAAATGGGAAAAGGAATATGTTATTTAGAGCACTGTCTTATTACCTGGACGTCTGTCATAAGGCCTACAGAATAACAGGCATAACGGTTTGACATGATAATGATATGAAGCCTGTATGACAGAGGGTTCATGTAAAATACTACTGTGCTACTTTGTTTATGCAGTCGACGTACTGTAATTCATTTGGAATTAATGTTCAATTAACATTTAGTAGGCCTACAGGGAAATGATTACATATCTATGGTGTGTTCTGTAGTCTTTGGAATGAGTGTTGTCCACAGGCGGCTGGTGGTACCTTAATTGGAGAGGATGGGCGGGATGGAATGGTATCAAACACGCGGTTTCCATGAGTTTGATACCATTCCATTCACTCCACCCCAGCCATTATTATGAGCCGTCCTCCTCTCACCAGCCTTCCTGTGGTGTTGTCATAGGCCTCCCTCTCAGTTTAATCAGCCATGGGCAACACTTTGCACAACTTCTTTCTCCTTTGTCTTTGTGATCTGCTCTTTTTCTCTTTCTTTCTCTCTCTCTCTCTCTCTCTCTCTCTCTCTCATCCTCTCTGCTCTAAGCGTCCTCCCCTCTCTCTTCTGCTCCTCTCGTCTCTCCTCTCTCTTCCCTCCCCTCTACTCTCTCTCTCTCTCTCTCCGCTCTCTCTCCCTCTACCTCCTCTCTCTTCTGTCTCTCCCTCCATCGTCTTCTCCTCACGTCACAACTCTCATCTCTGCTACTCCGCCCTCTCTCCTCTCTCCACCTCCAATCTCTTCGCCTCTTCCTCTCTTGTCATGTGACAACAATAGTGTCAGTGTTTAGAGAACAGATTTTGCAAAAACGAATCAGCCAACTGGTAAACAAACAGACCTCCCTCTCATTTACAACTCCTCTCTCTCTATCTCTCTCTCTATCTCTCTCTCTTTCTCCCTATCGCTCCCGCAATCCCCCCCCTGTCTCTCTCCTTTTCTCTGCCCCCCCTCCTTATCCCCCTCTTTATCTCTTTCACAGTCAGTAACCCTTGACATTTCCACAGTTCTCACCATATTCCTCTCTTTGCTACGCTAGTGCTTAGTGCTAGCCTTTCTCCACATGTCCACCCCGAGCCCCACACCGTGTCCACTAATACTGTTTGGTGAAATGTTATTAGTGGTCACGGTGCGAGGCTCGCCCGCCCCATGCTCTTCCTGCTGATGCTGCTGTTAGCTACGAGGCTAGCACTTGCCCTGCTGCTGTTAACATGTTAGCATTATGCCAGTCTCTCTGACACCTGTCTTAATGAATGGGGACATGGGTGTTCATTGTGTGAGATAGCAGGGGAGTGAAACACTGGAGCAAGGCTGTTCCTAATGCACTGTTTACAAAGGGATGTTCTGTGTGAATAAAATACGCCATGGTGAAAGGTCATCTCTCCTTCTTTCACCCTCTCTATCTATCCCCCCCCCCCTACCTAATGGGAAAGATGAGAGGATGGTCCGGTCGTTAAGTGGTTGAGGTGTACGGTAGTTGTCCTGCATGACGACACGGTCAGCATCCTCCTTACTGGCATACAGCACTGTCTCCAGCTTCATCATCTGAGGAAGAAGGGAGGACAGAGAGGAGGAAGAGAGGAGGACAGAGAGGAAAGGAATGGGAGGAAGAGAAGGAAGACAGGAGGGAAGAGAGGAGGAATGGGAGGAAGAGAAGGAAGACAGGAGGGAAGAGAGGAGGAAAGAGGGGAGGGGAAGGAAGACAGGAGGGAAGAGAGGAGGAAAGAAGAGGAGGACATAGTGATGCTTTGAATTCAAGCAAGGTGCCATAAAGGATTCTCACTCCCAGTCACACACCAACATCCACCTCCCTCACCTGTGTGTGTGAGATTTTGACGGTCTCTGTGAAGAGGGTCCAGAGGACACTCTGGAAGCAGGGAGGGGTGGTGAGGGAGCCATTGTATCGGTAGTACCGCCCCAGGTCAGAGGGCAGGAGGGACTGGACATCAAAGGCTGGGATGGACACACTCTGACCTGACCACGGAGGGAGGAACGGAGGGAGGAATGGAGGGAGGAATGGAGGGATGAAGGTTAGAGGAGAGGTACAGGGTTTGATTCCTGGGGGCTCACAGCGGTGCTGTTTGGCACTTCCATAAGAAACCAGAGAATCCCCATAAACTACTGTAGTCGTGGATACCAATGTAATTTGAACGGTAAAATTGCTAGAAGGTAGCTGTAATAATAATGCTGATTGGTTAAAGGTGTACTTTGATTGACAGCTGTCTCACCTGCGTGTCTGACGCGACCCAGGTAGTTGAGAATGTTCCAAAAAGCCGGGTTAGCCTCCTCACCTGTCTGACAGATCACACATCTTCCCTTTAGGTCAAGTCTACATGCTTTACTATACATTCAGAAAGCCTTTCTTACTAATCTGGTGATGTGAAGATTTTCCAACTGAAGAAATATAACGTAAATAAAAGGAATTTGTAACCAATTGTAAAGAATACAAATACAACACTTTTGAAGTATGTAATGTATCCAGTGGTTGATGTGATTGTCAGTTAGTTGTGATGTAATAGTCCTACCTCTATGAGGACTCCCAGTACTGCCAGTCCATCCTGCTGGGTCATAGCCACTGACATGTTAGGGTACAGCTCTGAGTTGTAGTGCACCACGTGCAGCTACACAGAGAGGGAACATGGTTAGCTGCTTCATTCGTTTACATAGGGGTCAGATGGAAGAAAGAGAGAGTCAGGGAGAGGGAATGAGAGCGTGATCGAGAGAGGGAGGGGGGATATACAAAGAGAAAGGGAGTGAGTAAATGAGATAGAGACTAATTGTAATAGTGTGTAACCAAAGCATGGAGCGTCTCGTCCATGTTTTCAAACTTGTATTTATTGTGGCTCCTCTTTCCTTCTCCCCTCTCCCGCTTCTCTCTCTCTTTCTCTCCGTCTCTCGCTGTCCCTCCCCCTCTCGCTCTCTCTCTCTCTCTCTCTCTCTCTCTGTCCCTCCCTCTCGTAGGCATACTGTGCAGTAGCAATGACATATCTGGTAATCGTCCAACCTGACTGAAATGCACACACCAACCATGCCAACATGTCCACTGTTTCTCACCGATGTCAGGGTATCTAGGTTACCAAGGATGATCTAGTCTACTTTGTTTCAAGCTCGTACATCACAAACAAGTCCAATACATCGTCTACCCTCTCTGACGCTCGCTCACTCTCGCTCTCTCGATCCCTCCTCACACAAATCTCAACCCCGCCACTCCCCATCTCCTACCAAGCTCTCGTTCTCTCTCTCCTCGCCCCTCTTCCTCTCTCTCCTCGCTTCTCTCTCTCTCTCTCTCCTCTCTCTCTCTCTCTCTCTCTCTCTCTCTCTCTCCATCCCTCACTCCATCACCTCTCCACCCATTTTTGCAGATCCACTGCATGTTCTACATTCCCTTCATTCCCTTCCCACAGAGAACTGTTCCAAGTTCCAAAAGAGAGAGTGTGTGTGTGTGTGTGTGTGTGTGTGTGTGTTGTTTTGCGGTAAAGGTTAACATACACTGTGGCCGAACCTTAGTAAGTTGGTTCCCCTTCCTGTGTATACTGTGTATACTGTAGGTGTTTGAGAGGCTTTTATTTGGCATGCTTGCCAGTTGAAATCTATTTCTAATCCTGAAGTATTTACAACAATTTCAATCAGATTTAATTCCACTCCCCAATTAATTAACATAATTCAAACACTTATTCTCCAATAACTTTTATTTTCAAGGTTTGTTTTCTCCTACTATGGCTAGTGTAAACCAGATTAGCTAAGAGTCTAGATTGCTGTTTAGTCTTTTTGTATAATATTTAATAGGATTATAGTATGGTTTCTCAACTGAAGTGCTTAATACTGCAACCTGCCTGGATATACACTTTGGCACGTACACATGTCCTTACCCATGCAGGCGTAGAAACACACACGTGCGTGTGCACACACACACACACTCGTGCACTCTCACCCACCAATACCCCTCACACCCCGCCCCCCTCCAAACACACACACACACACACACATTTTGACTCACCTCTGCAGAGGTGCTTCTGACTGTTGATGGTGTGTTCGCTGCCCCCAGCCCCCGGGGCTCCATTGCCCCAGTGCAGGTGCATCTGGACGGCCGTGAACTGCCAGGGCAGCCCCCTCTACACCCATCCAGTCTGGGAGAGGAACCATCACTGTGAGGGAGGGAAAGCATGGTTGCTGTAGTTACCTGTATGTCTGTTGTTAGTGATGAAGTCAGTATGTGTGCTGTAGTTACCTGTATGTCTGTTGTTAGTCATGGAGTCAGCATGGTTGCCTGTAGGTACATGTTAGTCGTTGTTTAGTCATGGAGTCGTATGATTGCTTTTTTTTTTTTTTGTAGTTACCTTTATGTATGTTTGTTAGTAATGGAGGTCGCATGGTTTCTGTAGTTAATGTAGTCTGGTTAGTCTGGAGTCAGCATGGGTTTCAGTAGTTACAAAAAGTTGTTGTTGTCATGGGGTCGTTTCTTTTTGGGGAGTTACCCGTATGATGTTGTTGTAAGGAAATCGCATGGGGTGTAGTTAATGTATTGTTTGGATGGGTAGAGGTTTCTGTTTGTTACCTGTATGTTGTTAGTGAGGGTCAGCAGGTTGGGTAGTTTCCGGGATGTTTTAGTGATGGAGTCAGCATGGTTGCTTGTCGTTACCTGTATGTTGTTAGGATGTTAGTCATTATGGTTGCTGTCGTTACCTGTATGTATGTTGTTAGTAATGGAGTCAGATGTGTTGTAGTTACATGTATTTGTATGTTGTATGTCATGGAGTCAGATCGTTGCCAGTAGTTTACAAATATGTCTGTTGTAGTCATGGAGTCCGTTATGCTTGCTGTGTAGTTAAACTGTATGTATGTTGTTAGTAATCTGCGTTCAGCAGGTTGTCTGTAGTTACATGTATGTGTTAGTGATGGATGTCAGTATGCTGCGTGCAGTTACCTGTAGTCTGTGTTAGTTGATGGAGTAAGTAGAGCTATGGTTGCTATAGTTACCTGTATGTTGTTTACGTGATGGATGGATTCAGCATGGTGATGTAGTTCCTGTATGTCTGTTGTTAGTGATGGGGACCTTTCAGCATGTTGCGTTGTTACCTGTATGTCTGTGTTAGTATGGAATTCAGCATGTTGCCGTATTTCCTCTGTATGTGTTAGTCGATGGATGTCAGCAGGGTTGCTGTAGTACCTGTATTGTAGTGATGGAGTCGCATGGTTTGCTGTAGTTACTGTATGTTGTTAGGGATGCGTCAGCATGGTTATTAGTTACCTATATGTATGTTGTTAGTGGATGGAGTCAGCATGGTTGCTGTCGTACCTGAATGTCTTGCTGTCGTGCTGGATGAGTCAGCATGGTTTTGCTGTAGTTACCTTTATGTCTGTTGTTAGTGATGGAGTCCAGCAATGGTTTGCTGTAGTTACCTGATGTTGTTAGTGATGGTGTAATCATGTTTGCTGTCAGTTTGTAGTACCTGTATGTCTGTTGTTTAGTGATTGGAGTCAGCATGGTTTGCTTTAGTTAACTGTTATGTCTGATTGTTAGTTTGGGGACCATGGATCAGGGTCAGCATGGTTGATGTTAGTTCCCTTTATATGTTGTTAGTGATGGAGTCAGCAGGGATGTCTTTACCGTCTGTATTTATGTGGATGGATGTCAGCATGGTTGCTTGAGTTACCTGTCTGTTGTTAGTGATGGCGTCACGCATGGTTTTCTGTAGTTACATTGTATGTTATGTTGTTTCGTGCTGGATTCTGAGAGCATGTTTGCTGTCGTTCCCTGCATGTCTGTTTTAGTGACGGAGTCAGCCTTGGTGCTTGTAGTTACTTATGTATGTTGTTAGTGCTGGCGTCGCATTGGGTTGCTGTAGTTACCGGTATGTATGTTGTTAGTGATGGCGTCAGTTATGCTGCGTAGTTACCTGTATGTCTGTTGTTAGTGATGGACTCAGCATGGTTGCCTGGTGGTTACCGTATGTTTTAGTGATTGTGTCATGCATTGGTTGCTTGTTGTAGTTCCCTGTATGTATGTTGTTATGATGGGAGTCAGCATGGTTGCTGTAGTTCCCTGTTATGTTTGTAGTGATGGATGTCAGCCTGGTGCTGTGAGAGTTACCCTGTAATGTCTCTGTTGTTGTGTAGTGATGGAGTCAGCATGGTGCTGTTAGTTTCCCGTATGTTGTTATGAGGAAGTCAGCATGGTTGTGTAGTTACCTGTATGTATTTTTGTTAGTGTGGAAGTCAGCATTGGTTGCCGTTAGTTCCCTGTATGTTGTTCGTGATGGAGCAGGCATTGTGATGTAGTTACATGTCTGTTGTTATGTGAGGGAGTCAGCATGGTTGCTGTAGTTACTGTTATGTTGTTAAGTGATGGCGTCATCATGTTTCAGTAGTTTACCTACTATGTATGTTGTAGTTGAGGGATTCAGCATTGTTCCTGTAGTTACCTGTCTGTTGTTAGTGATGGAGTCAGCATGGTTGCTGTAGTTAAGTGTCTGTATGTTGTTAGTGATGGAGTCAGCATGGTTAATGTAGTTACCTGTATGTGTTGTTCGTGATGTGTAGTCGCATGGTTGCTGTAGTTACCTGTATGTCGGTTTGTAGTGATGGAGGTCAGTTATGCTTGCTGTAGTTACCTGTATGTATTGTTGTTAGAAATGAGTTCAGCATGTTGCTTTGTGACAGTATGTCTGTTGTTATAGTCATTGAGTCAGGCATGGTTGCAGTAGTTCCAAATATGTCTGTTGTTTCGTCATGGAGTCACGCATGATTGCTGTAGTTACCTTTATATTTGTTCGTTGTTAGGATGGAGTCAGTATGCTTGCTGCAGTTACATTTCTTATGGATGTTTAGTGATGGTGTCAGCCTGGTGCCTTGTAGTTACCTGTATTGTTGTTCGTGATGGAGTCAGCTGGTTGCTTGTAGTTACCTGTAATGTTGTTAGTGATGGCGTCAGCATGGTTCTGTTAGTTACCTGTATGTATGTTGTTAGTGATGGAGTCAGCATGTTGCCTGTAGTTACTGTATGTCTGTTGTTTAGTGATGGAGTCAGCAGGTGCTTGTACGGTTACCTGATTGTTGTTAGTCTGATGGAGTCAGCATTGAGTGCTGTAGTTTACCTTTATTGTTTGTGTTGTGATGGATAGTCAGTATTGCTTGCTGGCAGTTACTGTATGGCCTGTTGTTAGTGATGGAGTAAGCATGGTTTGCTATAGTTACCTGTATGTTGTTAGTTGATGGTTTGTCAGAATGTTTTGCTGTTAGTTACCTGTATGTATGTTCGTTAGTGATGGAGTCAGCACGGTGCTGTAGTTACCTGTATGTATGTTGTTATGAGGTAAGTTCAGCCTGTTTGCGTAGTTCCCTGATTTTTTTAGTGAGGATCAGCAATGGTTGCTGTAGTTACCGGTCTGTTGTTGTGATGGAGTCAGCTATGGTTGCTGTAGTTAACCTTATGTGTTAGTGATGGCGTCACCTGGTTTCAGTATTTACCTATCTGTATGTTGTTAGTGATGGAGTCAGCATGGTGCTGTAGTTACCAGAATGTCTGCTGTAGTGATGGATGTCAGCATGTTGCTGTAGTTACCTGTATGTCTGTTGTTAGTGATGGAGTCAGCCTGGTTGCTGTACGTTACCGATGTTGTTAATGATTGTGTCATCATTGTTGTGTTAGTTACCTTTGTATGTCTGTTGTTAGTGATGGAGGTCACCCCCCCCCCCCCCCCCCCCCGCAGGTTGCTGTAGTTAACTTATTGTCTGCTTTAGTGATGAAGTCAGCATGGTTGCTTGTAGTTACCTGTCGTTGTTAGTGATGGCGGTCAGCATGGTTTCTGTTTTTAACCTGTGTATGTATGTTGTTAGTGATGGATTTGAGAGGCATGGTGCTGAGTTTACCTGCATGTTCTGTTTTTAGTGATGGAGTCATGGCCTGGTTGCTGTGTATGTTCCCTGTTATGTCTGTTGTTCGTGTTGGAGTCAGCTATGCTTGCTGAGTTACCTGTATGTTGTTGTTAGTGATGGAATCAAGCATGTTTGCTTGTAGTTTACCTGTAGTTGTTCTGTGATGTAAGTCAGGCATGGTTTGCTGTGTCTTAGTTACTCTGTATGTCTGTTGTTAGTGTGGAGTCAGTATGCTTGCTGTAGTTACCATATGTATGTTGTTAGAAATGTAGTCAGCATGGTTGCTGTAGTTACATGATGTCTTGTTGTTAGTCATGGAGGTCAGCATGTGCAGTAGTTACAAAATGTCTTTCGTTAGTTCATGGATCCTGTCAGCATTGATTGCCTGTATTTACCTTTTGTTTTTTGTTAGTGATGGATTTTGTCATAGTATGCTTGCGGCCCGTTACATTTTGTGTTAGTGATGTGTCAGCATGGTTGAGGTAGTTACCTGTATGTTGTTATTGATGGGAGTCCGGCATGGTTTGCTTGTAGTACCTGTAGTGTTAGTGATGGCGTCAGGCATTTGTTGCTGAGTACCTGTATGTCTGTTGTTAGTGATGGAGAGTCAGCATGTTGCTGTAGTTACCTGTATGTTGTTCGTGATGGAGTCAGCATTGATTGGCTTGTAGTTACTTATGTGTGTTTGTAGTGGATGGATTTTAGTCAGTATGCTTGCTGCAGTTATCTGTATGTCTGTGTTCGTGATGGAGTAAGCATGGTTGCTATATTTTACCTGTATTTTGTTGTGCTCTGGTGTCAGAATGTTTGCTGTCGTTACCTGTATGTATTTTGTTAGTGATGCGTCAGCCCGCGTTGCTGTATTTACCTTATGTATGTTGTTAGTGATGGAGTCATGGCATGGTTGCCCGTCGTTCCCTGTATGTGTGAGTGATGAGTCAGCCTGGTTGCTTGTAGTTACTTGTATGTTGTTAGTGATGGAGTCAGCATTGTTGCTTGTAGTTACCTGTAGTTGTTTAGTGATTGGCGTCATTCATGGTTTTCGTCGTTACTATATGTATGTGTTATTGATGGAGTCAATGGTTTGCTGTAGTTACCTGAATGTCTGCTGTTAGTGATGGATGTCCGCATGGTTGCTGTAGTTAACCTGTATTGTCTGTTGTTAGTGCTGGAGCAGCATGGTTGCTGTTGTAGTTACCTGTATGTTGTTGTGATGTTGTCATCATGTTTGCTGTTAGTTACTGTATGTCTGTTGTTAGTGATGAGTCAGCCTGTTTGCTGTAGTTAACT